GGGAAATGTGTGAGGGAGGACCACTGAGTATGTTGCAGGTGAGGAATTACTTACGGGGGAATTCTGCTAACAAGGCCACTGTACTTGCAGGTAAGTGAGGGGTCTGAGACCAAGCAGTTTGGAGGAGGGAAGCTGGAGGACCTTTCTGAGTCAGACTGATGTACATGCCCCCATGAGAAACCTGAACTGTGCAAGTTAATATTGATCACTGCTAACCAACCCCTCCCCCCCCACTACTGCACACTAAAGATAGGGCTAGGGCTACACTACACTACAGTAACCAGCAGTGAGTGTTGGAAGAGGATGCTTAACGATAGGTTGGGTGATGACACTAACCATCATATGAAAGGACCAGGTCTGGGGGCAGGTTCTGTGAAGGATATGTGGGCTCACACCTGTGGGACTGCAATATCTGCTGGTTTGCTCAAAAGCTGGGGATGGTGACAGGCTGAGCGAGGCGTGACCATGGATCACACCGACACTCATGGGTACTGAGGTTGGGAATAGGCTGCACTGGTCCAGGCTGCAGCACCCACAGGCATACCCAAGAACTGTGTGTATGTAGGGGACTGGGCTGCAATCTCCATCAGCTCACATCAAGGCTGAGATGAAGGGGGCACACTATGCTAGGTAAGGGCCTAGCAGCTACTGGTACTTGTGAGATACGGGTCTGGATCTGGCCTAATGAGAGGACTTGGGGAACTTCCCTGATGAGCTGTGGTTCCTGCTGGTAAGCATATAATTCAGGCCTGAGTGTAGGCTGGGCCAGGCAAGGCTGCTCCACTTGTCAGTAGTTGTATGGGTTGGCTCAAGGGTACAGATTGGGCAAGGCTGGGCCAAAGTATGACATATTGGCATGTGCAGGAGCCAGGCTGGAGTGTGGGCTAAGGTGGGCTACACTATCATACTTGCCTGTTTGCAAGAAAGCCAGGGAGGAGGGCAGGCTTGGCAGGGCTAGGAGGCAGGACCCATCAGCAAGAGTTGGGACTGTTGGTGGGCCAGACCAGGCCAGGCTGCAGCATCCAATGGCAAAGGCCAAGATGAGAACTAGGCCATGCCAGACTGAATCAGAGCAACCACTAGCACGTGCAACATCTGTGGCTAGGAGCAGCAGGCCTGGTTGACAGATGCCCTGGCTGGGCTTTGGGTCCCACTGTTGACAGCTAGATCATTAACAGGGGCAGTGATCTGGGTTGGACATGGCTAAAGCATCCACTGGCATGGTTATGGACTAAGTCTGGGGTATGTCAGAATGGGCTGAGCTCAAGCACCTGCTGGTGTTTGCGAGAACCAGGTGGGTATAAGATGGGCTGGGGCTAGGTCTCAGCACCTGCTGAGCCATACAAGAGTTGGTTCTAGAGGTGGGTCAGGTGGGGCTGGGCTGTAACACCCAACACTAAAAGCCAGAATGGGTGTGCCCTGTTGGCCAAGGACACTGTACCTGTCAGGACGGGAGATAAGCCAAGTCAGGTTGGCGAAGAGTCCACTGGTGTATGCAAGATCTGCTATTGGGAGATGACCTGATAGAGGAGCTTGGGGAATTCCTCTATAAGACCTCAGTCTCTGCTGGTGAGTGCAAACCCTGAGGCTGGGAGTAGCCCAGACCAGGAAGATTACAATACCTGCCAGCATACATACATGTGGGTCAGGTCTTGGGGCATGCCAGGCTAGGCTAGTTCACAGTATCCACTAGCAGATGTGAGGACCAAGACAGGGTGTGGGGCAGGCTGGGTTGGGCTGAAACACCAGCCAGTTCTGCTGGGCTAGGCTAGGCTGTAGCACTGGCCAGCATAAACTGGAACTGGGAGTAGCCCAGGCCAAGCCAAGTTGCAGCACCCACCAGCACATGTAACACTTTGGGGAGAGGACTACCTCAGCAGGGGGACTATAGGGGCTGCCATGCTAGGCTACTACTCATGCTGGTGAGAGTGAGAGCTGAGACTTGGGGTCAATCAGGCTTCCCAGAGATATAAGTGTTTGCCTGAACATGACTTGGGTTGGGGGAGACCCTGGTTGGGCTAAGACATGGGCACATGCATGAGCCAGAGTAAGTACAGACTGGTAGGGCTTTGACACAGTATCAGCTGGTAAATTCTAGGACTTTGAGCAGGTCCTGTCAGGCTGGACCACAGTACCTTCTCGAAAGTGCAAGATCTGGAGCTGAGAGTGGGCGTAGAGGGAAACTGGGCACTACTGTGATGGGTTGCAGCTCCTGCCAGAGAGCAAAAGAACCAGGGCTAAGGGTGGGTGTGGATGGACAGGCAGTAGCACCCATTGGCATAAGAGTGGGCTGGATAGTGGGATCGGTCAGGTTGAGCTAGGATGCAGCACTGACTGATTTGTATAGAATCTGAATGGGATGTAGGACAGACTGGACCAGTCTGTTGCATATACTGGCTTGCACAGGAGCCAGGGCTGGGGCTGGCCTGGTAGGAATTACTAGGGGTTGCTCCGACTGGGTTGCAGTTCCTGCTAGTGTGCATGAGAGCCAAGTGTATGGTGGGAAGGGATGAGCATGGCTAGAGCATCCATTGGTTTGTGTATGAGTTGGGACTGGAGATAGAACTGACTAGGCAACTGAAACTACTAGTGTGTAGGCTGATAATGGACCCCATGCTGGCTGGCATACACAGGAATCAGCTCCGGGGTCTCATCAGGCAAAGTTTCTTTGGGAATTTCCCCAAATGAACCACAGCACTCAAAACCACAGGAAAAAAATCACAGGATCTGTGGTCTGACTGTGCAATGCATGTGTCCAGCTGTGTCTGCTGGATTGCTGTAGACTGTGCAGTGGCTGATATGCCCAGATGCGCATGGGGGACACAACAACCATTTCATTGAGGCCTGCAGAGGGCATCTAATATCATGGAAGGCAGAATAAAATGAACAACACTCCTGGCTGAGCTCTGATAGCAAGTATCTGGGTGAATGACACTTTGAGGTGGCCTATGTCAGCCAATGGATTTTGGAAGAATTTCCTCCACCTTGCAGCAACAAATTCAACAGCATTTCAGAACACGCTCCCCATCAGGGACCCTGGGAGTATATCAATAGGTGTCCCAAATCCTCCAGTACTGGTGTGTGAGGCTGTTGGGAACGGCCTTCTCCTCTCTCTGAAGAAAAGAAAGGAAGACTGCACGCAGCTATCTCAGTCTAATTCACTCATTCGCTAACCGATGGTTCACATGGGCATGAATCCTTCTTGACTACATAAACATCATCAAAAATAAAATAAATGTATGCAAAATTCTTCAATTGGTCAAATGCTTTATTAACAAATATCAGCTCCTTGCAAGGCACTATCACAGCAAGGTTCTCCCAGCTGAAATAATTAAAGTAAGTATTCGAAAGTGCATTCAGAGTTCCAAATAAAATCTACACATCTTACAGATGAACCAATGACTTGGTCTTTTTTTTTTAATAGACTGGAAGGAAAGCAGATTATTATACTTATAGTTAGTAATATACTTATAGTAATATACTTATAGTAATAGTAATTATAGTTAGGAAGGTTCTTAAGCTTATCATTTTAAAGTCTGAAAAGAGCAGACTGGTTCAGGTAAACAGTTTAGCGAGGGAAGATTCTGGAGTCTGAATCTTCTGTGTTACCATCCTTCTGTTGTCACTGTCCAGGCTATAACAAATGTTTTCCAAGTTGTTGGACAAATCACTATTTGCATGTGTTCTGCTGTCCAAGGACCTAAGACAGGCTAATAAAAAATGTGTTGATATTTTAGTGATCAAGTAATTTATGTGTCATAGCCCTTGCCAGCAAACTCTATCACTTGCCAATCCTAAAACCTTTAAGTAAATCATTTTAGTAATCAAAACAACTTCTTCGTGCAATCACCTATTGACCTAGAGACTTAACCAAAGTGCTAGTCCACAAGCTTTATGAGTCCTAACATGTAAGAAGCACGCAGAAATTGAGAATGAATGCATCAATACTTCTGGAGCAATTAGTGCTAAAGACCTCTATACAAGATCTTGCATTTTACAGGAGAGTGGTCCACGATAGATTTGAAATTAAAAAGAAAAAACTGTTCCTCCATCATAAACAGTATGAGAGAAGTGCCTGAGGGCATATCTGATTTGAAGCATACAGTTAATCTAGTACAAATAGTCCAACTAGTTCCACTTAATGACAAATGACATGCAGGAAGGGCCCACTTACACCAGTTTAAATGGAGTTTTATTCATTTCTGAGGAAGAAACTTTCTTAGTGTGAGGCAAATATGGTAGTGCTCTGTTGGGTCTCATATTAGATTCTAACCCCAGAAAATAAAGAATGTTGATGTGACATTACCTAATTGCCAATTGTACTCCTGAAAATTGAAAGCACAGAGTTAAGTGAAATAATGCTGCTGGAGGGGGAAATTATGATTCATCCTGAGCAAGGCTTTGATTTTCAACATTCCATGGAACAGTATTGAGACAATGTCAATGAAAGTATAAACCTGAACTCATGTTGATATATTACCAGCAAAAACTGTACATTTCAAATTCAACAATACACCCATTTAGAAATCCTGACTATAAGGGCTGGGGCTGTGGTTTAGTAGGTAAAGTGACTACCTACAGTACTGGCATCACATATGGGCATCATTTTGACCTGGTTGCTCCACTGTTGGTCCAGCTCCCTATTAATTCAACTGGGACAGCAGCTCGAACCTCTGCACTCTTGTAGGAGACCTGGAGCAAGCTCCTGGTTTTGAACCAGTCTAGCTGGGACTGTTGAAGTCCTCTGGGGACAAACCAGTGGACAGAATCTCTGTGTTCCCTCTATCCCTCCCTATAATGCTGTCTTTAAAAAAATAAAGGAAAAGATAAGAGAAATTCTGATGGTAAAATATGGGAGAACTTTGGTGAAACCAGCAGAAGAATAAATTATCAAAAAGATAAGGCTATAGGAATGTTATTATGTTCACTTCAGATGTGACCAAGTGACATTTCTCAGGTAGAACGTTACGTCGTACGAGACATGAAGTCATGTGACTCACGTTTCTCCTGGACATAGAGATAGCCTTCCATTGCCCACTGGCTGGGGGGCCTGTAGTCCTGGTTGGCCGACTTCATCCTCTGCATCAGCCGCTCTACCTCTTGGCGAGTACTTTCAAAATTGTTCCTTGTCTTTAAGAAAGTAGAAACAACAATTTCATTTAGTGGTTCCTATCAGATTAGAGGTTACTTTTCAAAACTATTAACAATACAGGGCAACCTTGATTTTCGTTCTGTTATCCACCACTTCCATTATCATTTATGTTACAAAGGCTTATTGAAAACAAAACAAAATACTGTATAGCTTAGCTTAGTTTCCAGAAATGTTAAATAATATATAAATTAAAGATCAAATTCCAACCTTTTGGGGGGTGGACGAGGAGGAAGGGGGGGGTGGTGGGGGGAGGGGGGGGGGGGAGGGCGAGGCATGGTAATTTCAACTTGGGGGGTGTGTTATGTAAGGTTGGAGGTATTTGAATATTGCGAGTGGTTTTTCTGTGAGTGGGGAGGAAGGGTTAAATGTGGAGATGTGTTTGGTTGGGCTTTATTTGGGATGATAATGATAATGGAATTGGTTTGCTAGAGTTATCGTGATACATGAGGAAGGGGTTATATGGCGGGAGGGTAGGGGAGATGATTATATGTTATTGTGTTGGGGGGGGGCGATTGAAGATGGAGAAGACTAAAGGGTTAAGGTTGAGATTCTTTAATGTTAGTAGGTGGGGATTACTTTTTGGGGTTGTCTGATTTATGGAAGGGTGAGGGGATAAGTATGGGATTACGGTAGCTTTATAAGTTACCTGTCTACTTAACGAAAACTGAAAGCTTACAGGTGTAAACAATCATGGAATTGAACTAGAGATAAAACCGATAGGAAATCCAAGTTAAAAAAGGTTAAAACTCAAAACATAAGAATATATCTAATTACATATTTCTTATGAGACATTTCAACACTAGTTTTATTTACTGGACAGCTTCACAATGACAAGAATTAGACAAGCAGAGAAAAATATGCTTTTATTGAAAACAAAGAAGGATTGCTAAATAATTTTGGTCACAAACAACTAGATAGTTACAGTTTCAATTATACAAAAATGCCAACAATTAGAATTTTTTAATTTACTCAGTTTGATAATGCAAAAATAAACTCCTTAAAGTTTTCCCCTTTAATGACAGGGTTGCTAAGCACTTGAAAATCATAATTTGCATAAGTATGCAACCTGGTATTAAAAAGACTGATTAGATAATCTTTATAAAGTGGAACATGAACAGGCATTTTGAAAATAATTCTCACTTTTGTTTGAAGCAGTTATATTGAATGCTTTGAAACCACACTCAAATCTGCTTTTTGAAAATAATAAATGTTCCACATTTTAATAAACCATTTTGAGATTTGACCTTGGAGCATTAATTATAATCCTTTCATTTCACAAATATACAAATTACTGTTTTGACAAATAAGATTTGTCTAGGGCTAACCTTCATTTCCTCTCACTGAGACATAATAGCCAATAACACTGTCTATACTTAAGGTGTACCGAATAACATGTTGACATACTTAAACATTGTGAAATCACTATAATCAAGTTAACTAACATATTCATGAACATGTATAGCTACTGCTTTGTTTATGAGTGGCATGCGCATTTACATTCTAAACTCCTTACAAATCTCATACATTCACTATTACAGTGATTCTAACCATCATTCTCCATGCTAGATTTTCAGAACTTCTCTTGCAGTCATCCAGTAAGTTCACAAAACAATGACTACAGGCGAAAGTTTCCACACTTGCATGTATTTATGCTTAGGTTACATTTTTTCTAAATTTGGTAGTTCTAACATAAAATTAGTTCTTTTCTGTTGGACTTTTAACCAGAAAGTTAAAAAAAAAAAAAGACATAAAGTGAGTTTTTAAAATTGTAGGTTTATCAAGCTTAAGACAGATTTTTGAAAGATTTCGAAGTTGGATGAGATTGTAACTTGGAGGCCTTCTGATTGTCAGACTGAAAAACAGAAGTAGCAAAAATACAGATAGTCTTACATTCTGCAAGTTGAACTGTAGCTGTTGCTTATACGGTGCGAATTCCTGGGCAAGTTCATATCCCTCGTGGTAAAATGTAAATAAACCCTGAAGGAATGACAAAAGCTGCAAAAATAAAGAAACAGAAGAAACCATGACATCTTGCTTTACAAAAGATGGTCACCAAATGATGACCACTAAAACAAAACACCCGAGGAAATCATTTTTCACTCTAATTCCTTAAACGAAGATATTTTAAATCTCTGCTTGGCAAAGTAAGCATGAGAACTGTAGACTTAAAACAGAAACTACAAAAATGAGTAGCTAGAAGGAAGACTAACCCAGAAAATCACAGGGGAGAAAGTGCCAAGAGAGGACTAAGAATTTGACAAATGAAATTAAGAAACGTATCACAAGGTGGCAGCACTGATTTAAGAATGGCACGGCAATATGTTAGCAGTAAGTGGTAAGAACACAACAGAGCTGAAAAAAACAACATGGAATTAAATAATAGGCCTGTCATGTCAAAGCTGGAGAAAAATCTTCCTCAGACCACTATAATTTCTATAAACCTTGCTTTCTAATCTCATTCACGGGCACTTATTTATCATGTATTTATCCATGTAATAAGACAGGCTATTTTACGGAATTACAGGACATAGTTTACAGGGACAAGTAACATCTGACAAATCAGTGGCTTACATTTTTTCATTTAGTTAAACAGGATTTTATTCCACAAACATGTGTCCTCTAATTTGATCTCTCCCACAAATGTTTACTGCATTACGGTATTTTTATAAAATGTGGCTCATAATATGTCTGTAACTTATTATTTTAAATTAAGGAAAGAAAATTGAAAGCATTTCATATGTGGGTGACATCCTGCCACTTCCTGTCTGTGGAGGCGTGTCAGGTTCAACCAAGTACCAATGAGTTAGTGTGTTAAAATTTGCAACAGATAAACACTGCTTTCACATAAAACCAATGACCTAATGCTTTTCTTCTCATAAACAAGTCAACTTCATACAAACTTACATCCCTTTCAGAAAGTAACTATTTTCAAATCACTTGTTATCATATTTTAGGGATTTTTTCTTCTCTTGTTCCACAGCTGCTAATATTGTGCCATAGAATTAATTTATGCTATCAGATTTCTATTAGCTTATGATTACCATTTAATAGATTATCAAAAATGATGCTACAATGTTTTTGTCATATTATTTAATAAAATATAAAGTCCGCTTGAATGTGTACCCTGTGGCCTAAGGAATTCAAAGTTCAGTTTAAGACTGAATTAAATACATCCTTAAATAGGGTTTGGATATATAGATGTGGAACTTAAAAAAAAATGCCTTTGAAATACATTGATAATTCTAGTCTTTTGAATATTCAATAATACTGAACGAAGTTGTTGTGAGTATTGTCTTATTGTTTATATTAAGTCCATATTAAACTCTCTCTTTAAAAACTGTCATACAGGCAGATGTTATTTTAAAATCATCAGAAGTGCAACAGTTAATTAAAGTTATAAGTGAGATATTTTAGGAATAACTCTAATACATTTTTCCATAAAATAGCTACTTCTCTAATATCTAACTTTTCTAATATTCTCAGTGTAAATTAAGACACACTGATATTTCAGAAATACAAAGTAAGGCATCCTGTACCATTGTGGGAAATCCTAACAGGTTCAGTAATCACCAGGCCCAAGAAGTTTATGATCCATGTGAACTGCTTTACGAAGGCCCTGCTAAAGCTCAAAGTTGATTCCTGGTCTACTTGTCTGAACCCCTGCAAAACAGCCCTCACCCACAGACCTCTTCTTGCCTACAGAAGCTGGGTACCTTATCTGAAAGTGTTCCACACAGCACGTTCATGAGTCAGCCTTGTGGCACAGAAGGTGAAGCTACTGATAATACCAGCATCCTATCTCTGAGTGCCTCGGAATTCCGGCGGCTTCATTGCTCATCTATCTCCCTGCTAACGTACCCAGCAAAGTCCGAGAGGCAGTCCGGAGTGCTTGAGCTCCTGCCACCCGTGTAGGAGAGCAGATGAAGATGCAGACTCCTCGTCTGAGTCTGACACAGAACAAGCTTCTGTAGACATGTGGGGGAATGAACCTGTGGAGAGATCTCTTTCGAATCCTCTGGTCCTCTGCCTTTCAAATAAATAAAGCTTAAAAGAAGTCATGCAATAGACTTTGTTAAACCAATATTCTCCACTGAGCTGTATCTTTAAATTTCTAATTATACTTTAAAACTAAGGCTCTGGCACCTCTGTTTTATTTGGGTTAATCTATATCCTCAGTATTTAAATTCCCAATCATTTTTTAAAAGCAAGGTTCTAGTGCTTTTGCTGAATCTGGATTATTCTGTATCCTCAACATTGTACATGCAGTGATTTCAGTCAAAACGAAAATAAATCCATGAGCACCTTCTAGCAGAATTCAAATTCACTTCTTAGCAGATAAATGTTAAACGCTCACTCCAGTGCTGAGCACCCATGAGGGAATGTACAATTCTGAAGAAGACGCATAAAGAGGTACACAAAGATCCACTCGTTTCCTTTGGTTTGACATCTTTGAAAGCAGTTTTGGGCTTAATAAAGCTGCATAAATGCTGAAGTTCTGAAATAGCTGCCTCTAGATGGCAGGAGAGTTTAACTTTTTGTATGTGTGACTCATTCATTTTGTCTTCCACAAATTTTGTGATGCTAAACCCAGGAAAATTAACTGAAAAGCCAGAAAGCCTTTGATAATTCCAGTTCCCAAATGCCATTTTCTATGGTCAATCTACCTGAGAGACTGGGTGTTGTGGAACGAACTGTGGTCTCGGCTTACATTAGTGTAACTTTGGCCTCTAAAATAATGACTACAAACTACCAGATAAGGTTTAATACTGAGTTCCTTCTTTACTGGAAAATATAAAACACTCTGAATATGCCCAAGGGTTTTAGAATCAAATTGCTATGCGTTATTGCTACAATCTGTACGTGCAGCACTTATAAATCATATAAAATATTATACTTCTCAGTCTATTAATTATCAGAGTGCTAACTAGATGCCATAGGGATGTGACACTTCCAAAAGGCTCAAACTTTCAGGTCCACAGTTGTCCATAATAACATAAACAGCAGAGGAACTTCGGAGCTGAGAATGGGATGGGGCAGTATGACAACGAGGAAGAACTTCATCATAGCATGTACAGGAATTGCCTAGATTACCATTGTCCAAATGAAGAAGGACTGTGAAGCAGACAATTACATTGATGCGAATAAGTTCTAAACATTTGCCCTTACTTCTAGTGTTGGTCAAATATTACAATGAACAATTTCCTTTTTATAGATTTTTATTACATACCGATTAGGTAAACAGCTAAAAAAGAATAAAAATCCTACTGCGCAGAATATGAAAACACAGTGAACAGAACAGAGATATTACACAAACGTGATGCCTATATGTAAGGCTATGTGAATTTTTAAAGATTAAAGATTAAATTTATTTATTTGAAAGGCAGAGTTAGAGATGGGAGAGTGAGAGATTGAATCTCTGCCTGCTGGTTCACTCCTCAAATCGCTGTAACAACTAGGGCTGAACCAAACTGAAACCAGCCAGGTGCTTCTTCTGGGTCTTCAGTGTGGGTAGCCGAAGCCCAAGCACTGGGGCCATCTGTTTCTTTCCCATATGCAGTTGCATGGAGCTGGATGGGCGGTAGAGCAGCCGTGCTCAGATGCGATGCCAGTGTCGCAGGTGGGCATTTTACTTGGTACACCAATATGCTGGCCCTACAGCATTCAATCTTAAAGCACATCAATATCCCATCCATATATTTTAACTTATCTTTTACAAAATTGTTACATCATGGAGAAGAAACCAAATGTAAATATTGTTTAATTTAGAAATTATACATCAACAAGATCGACAGTTATTAAATATTCCATATTGCTTTCCTAATTCAGTTCTATCACTTATAAGCTATCAAATCAACCTATGGAAGTTAATGTTTTACACAAGTTATAAAACAGTCTCACATTAAATACTTCGTTTTCTACTAAATGTGGTTTTTGTGTCTTTTGTACACAAAGTACCCTTTTTTATAGAAGAAGCTATATATTCACTTTGGTAATTTCAGTTATAATCAAAGGAAATGGGTCAGGAGGCCAGAGATACAACCTATTATTGATGAAAAGTGACATCGAAGAACCACACGCAACCCAAAGGACACATCAGACACGTGAGTTACAGGAATTTGGTTGGAAAGCAAGTCTAATCCCTTATATTTTAATATTTGAAGGAATCCCTCTAGTCAGTGTAATTTTTACCTTTATTCTAGTCAAAAAGTGTTGCAACTTTTAAGAAGTCAATGAAAACTATAAATTTTTATCAAGAGCATCTTGTTTTCTGATAATATATCTCTAGTGTACTTAGATTCGATAAGCAAGCTGGTAAACATGCTTATATTCAAGTGGAGCAGTAAATTAGCTGACAAAAGTTATCCATTTCCAGCAAATGTGTTGAGATTGACAAGGCGGAATTATGTTCAGAAAGGCAATGTTGGCTATAACATAAATGTTACGAAGGAAGCTTGCTGTCATGAATAACTCCAACATTTAGGGACTTAGTCCACTTCAGACCAAACTAAAATACAAAACCACAAAAACAAAACATCCAGAATAATAAAAACCACATTCTTCATCAGAGCTTCATTCCTCCTCTGTTGTACTGGTATCAGCACACACTTGGAAAACTGCTGCGTTAGTTTGTCAGAAAACAGCATCACTTCGACTTTTCAACTCTTTTCACTGTCACTGAAGGCTGATGAAGAAAATGGTCTTTTACTAGACCCAGCAAGTTGAAGCCTTCCCTTGAAGATGTGAGGAACATTTCAGTGGTCTTAGAAACTTGTCCTCTTTTAATGTAGAATTTGTTTCATAAAATTGCACCCAGTATTTTACACATTACAAATATGGTATAGAGAATGTGATATAATGACATGACTTGCTCTAGTTTTTGTATTGTGGATTTTAACACCAACGGCTGAATCCCATCTTTTGTCATCTTGTTCTATTTCACAATCCTGAAGTATCACATCTCTAGGATATTTACTTTCAATTTCCTGTTTTACTGG